ATGAAACCAGAATTAGTTGGGACCACCTGTCATTGGCTCTGGTGCCACCTGCTGGTGGCCTCCCTGGCTTCCGCCCTATAGTTCGAATGAGCACCAGACATCAAAGGTGGAAGCTTTTCAATTTTGGATAAAGGTATTTTTTGTACTTTTTCCCCACCCCACACCAGGAGCTCCCCAATATACAATCATATTGATTATATGATATCAGAGTTGTGCTACCAAAATATTGTGAATTGGGGGGAACGGCATTTTGCATCAAAGGAACATTACATGGGTGCTACAAGCTAGGGGCTTGCAAACAACTACTTGTTCCCCACAAGTAGGAGGGACTAGTAACCAGGCTTAATTAAATCGTGACCTGGAAGTGACCACTTAAGTAGGTGTTTGCAAAAACCAGCCATGTAGTACCCAGTTCATGTTCCTTGTATGGAAAAAGTTACTTCTCTTGTAAGATTATTAAAAAAAATAAAAATAAGAATAGGACATAAGTATCATAGGTAAGAGTGGAAACTGGCAAGCATTTTGGTGCACTAGGTTTTCCGGATCTAGTTCAAGGCTTTCTTTTGGCACCTCCACAACTTTGGTTAATGGGAGAAGATTAAGATCTGTAAAGCCAATGATTTTAAGAAAACAAATGTAGATCGATGGTTGCCTATTTAGTGTTGTTTACTTTAAAGGATTGGCTTGCATGTGGTTTTGCATACCTTTGTCAGGCAGGACCAGGGAAAGCCATGGAATAAGGCCTGGAGTAAATATTATCTCTCATGAGCTGGAACCAGAGACAGAGATGGGGTGGGGTTTGTGGCTTATGGGAAGGCCTGCAATGTGGGCTAGGCTGCACAAAGGCTGAAGGCCAGAGCTCTTCTTACACACCCTCCAAGTGTCCCTGTTTTCCAGGGACAGCCCTGGAATAAGGAAAACCACCCTGGCTTCTGATTTGATCCCAGAATGTCCCTATTTTCCCCATCAGCGGTGCTGCTCCCAAGCTCAGGGAGAATGAGCTGATGCTTGCCTGAGCAGTGGCGACAGCAGTGGTGGCTGCGATGGAGCATTTGGCTGCCACTGCTGGCCTCCTCCTTTGAGCAGCTTGTAGCAGCTGCTGGAGAGAGGGCGAGGAGGAGCAGAGGTTGCTGCTGCTGAGGCCCAGCATTGAGTGACACGCCGGCTCTGAGGGGCAGGCAGAGGGCATGGCTGCAAGAGCAGAGAGCAAGGAGTCTTGCTTGTCTTTTTTTAAAAACAACAACAACAACACGCTCTGTGCATCCATGTCAAATCTCGCCCTTTTTAAAATTTATTTATTGCAGTGTATTTTTCTTTTTTTGTAAATCTGTTGTTGTTGTTGTTTAGTCGTGTCCGACTCTTCGTGACCCCGTGGACCAGAGCACGCCAGGCACTCCTGTCTTCCACTGCATTGTAAATCTACCAAAGAATAAAATCAAATCAGGATTAAGGGGTTTTCTCAAGACGGTAGAGGGCATGTGTTCCATTGCTGTAGTGGCTCTCGTCCTTCTTGTGCTAGGAAATGCTCTGTGGGGGCGGGAGACAAAAATGGGGAGCTGAGGAGGGTCAGTTGGGGGGAAGAGTGAGAAATGTCCCTATTTTCATCTGAGGAGCATTGGAAGGTCTGATACTATTGAGAGGGTGCTAGAAGCTGGGCATGCAAAGCCCTGGGTTGCTCAGATGATGTCATTCTCTGACCATATGGTTGACCTTCTTTTAAGGAATGATAGTGAAAGGACGACTGAACAACATTTTGACTGTTCAAAATGTATATTTCTCCTCTTGCAGGGTTTTTTTTTAAAAAAAGAAGCCAGGTAAACCTTTCCCACTGGGATGATTTATGTTTAGTGAATCCTGCCTCAGAGAAATGAATACAATTCAACAGCACTGGAGGTCCCCTCCAGCCTTATGAATCTATAAATAAATGCCAGCAGGACATTCAACAGCCTTGATCCACAAGGCTCTGAACAGCTTTTTGATAGCCAATCAACAGGGCTATACAAGAATGATGCTATTAACAAGCAAACCTGCCCCAGTTGCTATCTTTTGGCAGGAGGGGGGTGTTTAGTAATTTAAAAAAGCATATCTCCCTATCATTGTTTCAAGGACGAAGTGGGAAGACCATATTGGAAAATGCCCTCTGGATATCCATCTAAAATCGTGCAATATGTAAGGATGGGCAAGGAAACTTCCCTTCTCTGTGTTTGCTGTAGAAGTCAAACAAAAAGGAACAGGATCTGATGTTGACGATAGTGTGGAAGTACATGTGTGTGTAATGTACACACATATACAAACATTTGCTCATTAAATACACAGCCAAGATCTTTCCCTGTGCTCTAGTTCACTTGTAATAATATACAGTACGAAGAAGATATTCCAGCAAATTTGGACGCATGTTTCCAACGTATGTTTTCTTTCAGTGTCTCCTGATGAAAACATAACTTGGAACATGTGCTCGATGTTAATAAGCATTCAAATTCACTTTATAAGCAAATTTTAATGATACTCGCGGCCAGCTTTGGGGGCTGAATCCTGGCCCCCTAGATAGTCTCAGCTAAAGATCATGGATAAAGGGCTTGGCCTGTCTCTGCCTTATGGCAAGGGTGGGTATTTGCCCTCCCCCTTCCCTCCCGAGTCTGAAAGCAGCTACAAAATCATTCTGTGATTACAACTGCAGCATCCTATGTATATCTACTCACGGGAGGTCCCACACATCTCTGTGAAGCAGAGGGGCCAGAGAGCTGCCACCTACATTGCTTCAGCCCTCACTTTGATCTGCAAAAAAGCAGATATCCACACAGAGGAAAATGACCCTTGATTGACTTAAATATGTACCTAGATCTGAAGCTGATTGTATATAAAACATATTCACCAACCATGCAGAAAACATGAGTCAAAATAGCACTTGGAAGGCAGTTGTGAACCAGACATTTGGAGTGGCATCTAACCACCACTTAGTTACTATTCTGAAGCAACTTTAGCGTACTTGCACTATGGAATAATCTCAGTGGTACCTAAGGTTAAGTACTCAATTCGTTCCGGAGGTCCGTTCTTAACCTGAAACTGTTCATAACCTGAAGCACCACTTTAGCTAATGGGGCCTCCTGCTGCTGCCGCGCCACCGGAGCATGATTTCTGTTCTCATCCTGAAGCAAAGTTCTTAACCTGAGGTACTATTTCTGGGTTAGCAGAGTCTATAACCTGAAGCATATGCAACCTGAAGCGAGTGTAACCCAAGATACCACTGTATATATTTTGGGGCATGGGGATCATAGCAGATATGAGAAAACAGCCTTCCCTTTGTATATTTGAATAGCATTGCTAAAAGGGAGAAACTATTAGGCTGCAGTCTTATGCACACTTCTCCCTTGAACATAGCCCCACTGAACTCAGAGTTTCCAAGTAAATGTGAATAGCCTTGTGCTGTTAAGAGGTGGAGGTCATATTTACAACCAGACTTGACTACTGCAAGACATTATGCATGCCCTTGAAGATTGCTCAGAATCAACAATAGGTTCAAAATGTGGCAGCCAGGACCAGAATGCAGCACTGTCTGCTTGGAATGTATCTCACCAGCATTATACAAAAATAAAAAAATGAAAAACTCCACTGATTCCCAGTTTGCTTTTCATTTTCCAGGCATACTTTGGGACGTATTTTTCTTTTCTCTTCTTGGTGGAGTAGAAGGACCATAGTTCAGTAATAAAGCACATGCTTTGAATGCAGAAGGTCCCAGGTTCAAACCCCCCTATTCCTTTCTGAAACCCTGAAGAGGCACAGCCAATCAGAGTTGACAATACTAAGCTTAGATGGACCAATGGCCTGACTCAGTATGAGAACCTTCTTCTGTTCCTGTAAGGCCTATTAAGAATGAATTAAATAAATTTAATTTAATGAATTAAAGGAAGAAAGAATTAGACATGGTTCGTTTTAGAACATAGCATCTGTCTTATCAATGTTACAAGGTATGATTCCTTTCTAACTGATCTTTGTCCAAAGTTAAGACCTTTAAGTAGATACCTTATAACCAGAATGCCAAGGAGGAACTGACAAAAGTAGCCAGTGAGTCCACCTTGCAAAAGAGATTGCAAACTAAAGGGCAAGCATTCAGGTTGTAGACAGCATCATGACTTTATAAGGCATTCCTTTTTTTCCATCCATTCACCAGCCACTGAACATTCACAGGGCTGTTGCTCAGATTCAGGGGAACCTGGACAGGAATTTTCAGTGGGTACATCAGAAAGTACATATTCCCTTTCTGGGCATTGGATTCCTCTGCCAGCATGATGAAAGCACCAAGGGCTCTTCCACGTATCTGGCAATCTTTGAGTGTACTTCTACACTCCATGGATAAGTTGCCTATTTGGTAGGTCATTATTATTCCTAGTTTACAAATGGGGAACTGATTCTGAAAGAAAGCAATTTTCCCACAGCTGACCAGTGAGATCATAGCTGAGTTACAATCATGGCATTCCAGATCCCGTGGGAGTGCTGTCTCCATTGGACAACAGCGAGTCTCTGCCCATAAAGCGAAGGCACATTAGGTTAATTATTTATTTGGAAAAAAATATACCATGTTTTCCTCCAAGGAGCTCAAAGTGGTGCACATTGTTCTCCAACTCCCCAGTTTATCCTTACAACAACCCTGTGAGGCAAGTTAGGCTGAGAGGCAGTGACTGGCCCAACTCCCCCAGTGAGCTTCATGGCTGTGTGGAAATTTGAACCCTGGTCTACCAGGTCATAGTACAACACTCTGATGGCCATCAAAATCTTTAGCTTAACCAGCTACGTACCTCTACTGCAGGCTTCCTCAACCTCGGCCCTCCAGATGTTTTGGCTTACAACTCCCATGATCCCTAGCTAGCAGGACCAGTGGTCAGGGATGATGGGAACTTTAGTCTCAAAACATCTGGAGGGCTGAATTTGAGGAAGCCTGCCCTAGTGCAATGGTAGTCCATGTGATGCCCTCCAGATGTTGCTGGAGTAAAACTTCCATCAGCCACAGCTAGCATGGCCATTGGCCAGGAATGATGGAGGTGGTATACCAATAACATCTGGTTGGCACCATGTTGGTTACCGCTGCTCTGTCGCTATGTACATGTTATTGGCTTGAAACACAGCTATGTCGTTCTTTTTCTCAATTTGGATTGAAGCTGGTTTGGCGGAAAACACATCAAAACATAGTATTTCAAAAGAAACTCTAGCATAGATATGAATTGTGGCTATCACCGTGCGTATACCACTTCCCAAACCAGTGAATGCAGAGTAAACACGAGTTTGTGCACAGCTTAAGTGTATCAATATAATGATAAGTTGAAGGGGCTCTTCCACAATGGCAGTCTATGGATGGATGCTCCTTCAATGAACATACAGGTTAATCCAGTTAAATAAAAATATAAAAAATACACAGATTCAGAAAAAAAGTTGTGAGAACAGATACAAAAGCTAAGCATAAAATCCAGATATTTGAAATCAGTGGCAGGTAGATTCTATAGCTCCTATGACTTACATACTTTCTACCAAGAACTAACTTAGTTGGTCTTTAAGGTGCTACTGGAAGAAATTTTGTTTTGTTTTGACTATGGCAGACCAACACGGCTACCTATCTGTAACTGATACTTTCTACTGTTATCAGATCAAAAACTTTTTACTAAGTAGGTGGTTAAAAGAAACTTTATTTACTTTTACTTGCCGATTCTATCTCAAGTCTTGGGTGTTTTGTGTTAATGTTTCATAACTCTGGTTACCAGCAGCCCACACCAAACATCCCTCCTAACAACAGTATAACTATAAAAGCAGTTATTTCCCCCTTTATAGGAAGAACCAGAACAACCAGCCGAAGTATCAAAAGGCCATGCGTAGTCATGAGTTGCAGCTGGCAGCTAGCTGCATAGTTGCCTATAAGCCATTTACTGTGTACACTTGCTCAGTTTATCGAATGGGTGGGCCAGCCCCTTAGTACGTTATTCATACTTAAAACAAAACAAAAATCCCACCTTATAATACTTTTACTTTTAGGACAATAGCAAAAGTAAAGTTTAAATTCAGGCACTACCCATAACTGCTCTGGAGTTATTGGAATCTGGAGCAGGGAATCATAAGATGACCCCCAACTATCACTGGGGCTTGTTTCTGAGAGGCAACAGTGGCTCTTCCACCACTGGCTGTCACACCCAGTCTGGCAGGCAATTGAAGTCCTTCACTGCTGGTGATGGCTAAGGCCCCAATCCTAATCCCACTTACCTGGGAGTAAGACTCACTGAATTCAGTAGGGTTTACTCCTGAGTAGGCATGGTTGGGCAGGATGGCCACAATAAGAGGCAATGCTACAGTTCCTACACTGATGAATCCTGTTTTCCAGCGACTGTTGGGAACATGAACCTTCCTGCCAGGCTTGCTCCGATTATAGCTCTTTCCATGGCTGACATGTCTTCCAAGGGTCTCTGACATTTGCATTAGTTTGGAAACTGCTTCTCCCTTCCTTCCCATCTCAAGCCATTGTGCCGTGGCCAAATCAGGATGAGGGGCAAGGCGCTGTAAGTTTGCAACAAACACTCCACCTTGAATCAAACTGGAAAGGCAGGAGCATGTGTCATTCTCACAGTGCCAATGGGGATCTATGAAATATCCACAACATTGCACTGAAGTTAGTTTCCTCCATGACCCAAAACACGTTGCTTGGTCTCCCAACCCCTCTGTCCCCATAAATACATTGGACTTGGCATCAGCTCAGAGGGCAACTCACAGGCATTGCTCTTCGAGGCATTTCAATGGCTGGCTAGGAAATGCAATTACTGTTCCTAACTATCATGATGACAGGAAAGGAATTATCCAAGTATGACATATTCCCTTTAAATCTCAGGGAAGGGCTTCTGGAAGCACACCAAGAGACATTGCAGATGGGGGCTGCTGGAGTCCTTTCCGCCATGCCTCCCCTAATGTGACATGTGCTGTTTGTGGCACAGGCCACTTAGCCATATGCTATGATGTGTACATCCGTTATCTTGGGGATGTGCCAGTTACATTTATGGCACATAGCTCTTCTTTCCTGTGTTGTGGTTGAGCAAATAGCCACAGTCAGATACACAGTGCTTTTGTGACTAACCCAACCATACAGAGGAAGTTTCTGAAAGAAGAGGAATCTGAGCTCATGATTCAAAAAGCCAGTCGCCCTTACCAATAAATCTGAATGCAGAACGGTGCACAAGCTCAAAAAGGATCAAGCCCACAGCCAGAATTCTTGTGGTGAGAGTCCTGGAGGATAGGAAATTGAAGAACAGTCAGAACATAAATACAGGTAGACTCATATATTTAAGTGTCTAAGCGAGCATTTGGGTAAAAAAATAAGAAGCCTGCTAACTGAGAAGCACAGCAAAAGTCTACAAAGAGATCGTTTATTTCCACTTCTTTTAACTTTTCTTCCCCCCTCCCTCTTTCTTCCTAGTGCAGCCTTCCCTCTCTCTCACATGAGCATCCTCAGATATTTTCCTGGGGTGGGTATTTTTCCTGGGGTGGGGCAAAATAAAACATTGAAAGGGTGGAGCAGGCGAATTTCTCACAAACAAAATGAGAAGAATGGTGTTTGCATGCTTTGCCTCAAATCTCAGGTTGCAAAAATGACAAACTTACTTTAGTAAAAAACCATGAAATCTGGGAATTTGGGGGTTGCGCTTCATTCCAGGGGCACCAAGGAAAGCATGGCACCCATGGGTGGTGATCCCTGCATTAGAACATCCAAACACGGCCCTTGGATGAAAAGGCAGGCTGATCTACACATTTCCTATTAACAGGGGAAGGGTTTGTAGCTCAGTGGTTGAGTATGAAGAAGTTCCCAGATTCAACCCCTTGCATCTCCAAGGAGGAGTGGGAAACCCAGGCCTGAAACCCTGGAGAGCTGCTGCCAATCAGTGTGACCAATCATGAGCTAGATGGGCCATCTTGGTATAAGGCAGCTTCCTATTCATTCCAGGCAGAAATGAAAGTCAACGCTTTCCCACCATGCTAGGGGAAAGACTTCACCCACTGAACTTCTCCTAGTCACACAGTTGTTAAAGCACCGGCGGCGGCGGCGGCGGGGGGTGGGGGCGGGATCCAAGCTCATGTAGGATTGGTATTCACTTGTGTAGACCACTGTGTGTTATGTTCCATAGATTTATGGAACAAGGCTAGAAACTGTTGTACGCTAGTGACATTTTTTATGATTTAAAACAGGAGGCTTCCACCTTGACTGATTTTCCAGCTTGTTCTCTCCCACGCCCTCTCTGCAGCTGGCCACACCTCCTCACTCCTTGGTGGCTTCCAGCTCACCATATCTTAAAGCAGGAGTGCACAACCTTTTGGGGACACATTTAGAAAAAAAACACCAATGAATTGTTCTGGGCAGCAGAAAACACACATGCCACACAATGAAATCTGACAATGCTTCAGAACTTCATTTGTGAAAGAGCGACAATGACCAACTCTCCCCAAAACAAATAAAAACCAGACAAAGAAACAGCAGGCAACCACCTGAAAACAGCACCGAAAAGCCTCCTTTAAACACAGGAGCAGAGGGCCTTGCCTGAGGGTGCCAGGGTGCCATGTTTGGAGACCTCAGTCTTAAAGGAAATTTACCCTCTCCACACTGACCTTAAAGTGATGGGGTGTGGATGAAAGTGGATTGTGCTGTGATTCATCACTGCTTCCATATTCTTGGGGAAGACCTCTTGAGCAAGATGCCCCCAGTGGGCCTACCTCCTCAAGCAGGCCTCCCTCCTTGCCAAAATTGACAAGGGAAGGCATGGGGTTCAGCTGCAGGCCCTTACTTGGATGTGAGCCTAACAGTGCTGTTCTCTGATGTTGATCCTACATGCATGAGACTATAAGGAAAGCCCTGCTTTTCTTATAGTCCCTTCCTCTGGCACGGGAGGTAGAACATAGCCACTGATGGCCATGAATTTGGCCGGTCCTCTTTTAAATTAGCCATCCAAACAGGTGGCTGTCATGACCTTGGAGGGCTGGCACTGCTACTCTTTTGTTGTTGTTTAGCTTTAAAGGCAACAGCAGAAAAAAGATGGAGAACCAAAAAATTCAAAAGAGAACATGTGCTCCTGTGGTCTCACAGTTGCATAGTTGTGAAGTGATTTCAGCAGATACAACTTCCACAGACAGAAACAAGTCTTTTTTCTTATTCAGAATTACATGTACAGTATGTCCCCCCCTTTCCTGAAAGGACCTCAAGGCTGGTTTCTCCCAACATTTTATCCTCACAACAACCCTGTGAGGTAGGATAGGCTAAGAGATAGTGGCTGGCCCAAGGTTATCCAGTGTGCTTTGTGGCCGAGTGGGAATTTGAACCCTGGCCTCCCACCAGGCCCTAGTCCTGGCATTCACCACTACACCACACTGCTGCAGGAACACACGCCATATAGGTGGTGCCATAAACCTGAAACTTAAAAGCCTACTAAATACCTTATGGCAAACCTTCCATAGATTAGAGCATTGTTAATCTTTAAGGTGCCTGTGCCCCAATATTATTTGACATTTCTTTCATGCAAGTGTTATTGGTGGAAGAGATTTGAATCTGGGCATCCCAAAGGAAAAAAGTTAAAACTGGGCGGCAGTAGGAGGCCTGACAAAACCAAGAGTGCAATGGAAGGGGGCTGTCATGCGTTTTCCTCTTCTCCCCCCCCCCCCGCGCAGTTGTACCGCTCCGCGTGCTCCGCCCCCTCCCTGGCTGGGGTCCAATCCCTTGGCCGCCGCGGGGTATATATAACATCTCCAGGCGCAGACGGCGCGCAATAGTTCCTCTCTTCAGGATTGTTTGGAGGCGAGCACGTGTGCGCTCCGGAGGCGACGCTGGGCTGGTGGAGCCGGGCTGGTGGGGTTGCCAAGCTAACGGCGCTGTTCCTTCTCTTCCCCTGTAGTTTTCGCCGCTTGTACACTTGGCTGCGACCCAGAAGCAGCAGCGCGAGGGAGGGAGCCAGCAAACCAGCCTCGGCGGGCGGGTTGGTCGGCCTGCCCGCTCATTACCGCCAGGAGGAGGCGGGGCGGCGGCCTCGACATGAGCACGCAGGCGCGGGGCCAGGCTGCTCGCAGTGACTGGAGCGGCGGCGGCGGCAGCAGCAGCTTGCAGCCTCAGTGGCAGGAGCAGCAGCAACAGCACCAGCAACATCTCCTCCACCACCTTCCTTCTCCTCCTCCCTTGGGCCGCAGCGACCTCGAAGGCGACCCCGCCGCAGCCATGCCGGTGACCGAGAAGGACCTGGCCGAGGACGCGCCCTGGAAGCGGATCCAGCAGAACACCTTCACCCGCTGGTGCAACGAGCACCTCCGCTGCGTGAACAAGCGCATCGGTAACCTGCAGTTCGACCTGAGCGACGGGCTGCGCCTCATCGCGCTGCTGGAGGTGCTGAGCCAGAAGCGCATGTACCGCAAGTACCACCAGCGACCCACCTTCCGGCAGATGCAGCTGGAGAACGTGTCCGTGGCGCTCGAGTTCCTGGAGAAAGAGAACATCAAGCTGGTCTCCATCGGTGAGCTTGTGGCGCGCCCGTCGGGGCTGGGCAAAAGAGCGGGGACGCCTAGGCGGGCGGGCGGGCTTCCGCGTGTGGCGAGAGCAGCGCTTACGGGCTGCAGGCTGCCTGAGGGAAGCGGCTCAGTTTCTGCCTCCCCGGACCTCTTTAGTCGGGCTTGGTACTTCGTTTCAACCCAGCCGTCCGGGCACCTCTTGTGCCTGGGGGGTTACGGCTCAAGGTTTTGGGGGCAAACTCAAACCAGCTCGTCTGTTCGCTGCTGCGGGGAGGTGTCTGAATTCCTCCCGGCGTGAGGAAGGCAGAAATGGGGCCAAAGCGCCTGGCAGTGGGTGCACCGTCGAGTTGCCGCTCCGCTAGAGTAGCGAGCGGGCGAGGTGGGCGCGGCTCTGCTGCTGAGCGTCTTCCTGAGGCGCCGACGAGCCCCCGGGAGCCCAGCGTGGAGGGCGGCTGTGGGGAGGAGCCGCCCAACCCGACCCTCCCGGGGCGGGTACCTGCCGGCTTGTTGCACCCTGCGAGCTTTGAAACCAGCTCGGGTCTTAGCCTACCGCTCGCCAAAGGAGGACCCCTAAGCTATCTAGAGCCCCCCCCTTCTCGGTCTCTTAAATACTCTTGTAAAGCACGCCGGTTGGGAGGAGGAGGAGGGACGCCCAGGCGTCGGGTATTTGCATGCTCTCTTCCCCCGCCCCAATTAATGGTGTCTCCACCATCTACAAACTCCCCCGTCCCCGGGCTCGCATTGAACCGTAAACGGGGCCTGAGCCTCATCCTGGGAAAGCGGAGAAATGGCTGGCGCTGCTCAGACAGGATTTCCTGAGGTGCCTCCCTCCCAGCAGGTAGAGCCACTTCCTTTTGGCGGCAAAGACTTCGGTTTCCATGCTGGAGGTTTCTGAAGGGTGTGCGCTGTCTCTGATCTGAGACCAGCTTCTTCTCTGCTTTCCTGGGAGAAGCAGGCATTGGGCTGAACTTGGTTCCCGTTTAAAATTAAAGATGGAAAAAGAGCAGCTGCGGGGCTTGTGGTGATAGTTTGCAAAGCAGTGCTCTGCCCCTCAAGTAGCATGTCAGGAAGAAAACCCAGCCGGCCGTCTCATTTTATTCTCTGGAGAACGTGGTGTAGGCAAAATGTGCTGTGCTGTTGGTTCTGTGCACTAAGGATGCAGTATATAAGGAATGCTAATTCCTTGTTAAATTGTTTTAATACCTTAGCAAGCATTCTAAAGTGTCTGGATTTCTAAAAGTGTGACTGCGATAGTACATCTATTTTGACCATTAGGATTTGACATTAAGACTAATTTGGTAGAGACTATTCACGCCTATTTTTTCAGTTGGCACTGCTGTTGAGTCAGCTGTGACCAGGTTCTTGGTGGAATGGGACAAACTGCAAAATGATAGGCTATGTATGGTAATCTGGGTGTACATATTTGACACATCACACCTATAAGGTGTTGTGCACTATTAACTAACTTGTCACCTATCAAAGGGATAGCTGCAGCAAAATACAATCTTGTTGAGCCCTCAAAGACTGACATCCTGATGGCATAAGCTTTTGTGGACTAGCCCACTAGATTAGATGCATGATGTTACCCTGAATTGCAGGTACATATGCAGTGTGTGTTGTAGAATCAAAGTGTGAAAGGATCTCAGTCATCCAGTCCATTCTTCTGCGAATACAGGAAACTGTATTGGGACTCCCTTAAAAATTGTCCATGGATAACAACACTCCCTATTTTCTCTTTTGAAGCTGCATTTTTCTAAGCTTACGAGTTGGGAGGTGGTAGTGCTAGAGAGGGAAGATACTGGTCAGCTTCAGCCTAGTCAGAAACCATTTGTAAAGGACTAGATGGCATTTCAGATGCTGTGATTAAAAGGCTGCCAGTGTCCTAAGCTCAACAAACTTCCAAGATACAGTTGAACTATAGAATGGATAAATGTAGTCTGATTACAATAGCCATTAATTGTATAGAAAGCTCTGCAGCTAAGTACTGTTGCTTTGACTGTGTTTCTGGTGTCTTTTGTGTTGGGAATCTTTTCTTGCAAAATGCCAAACTTGTATTAAAGGAGGGAATAAATAATGCAAAATAGCACTAGGAGGTGTTTCTGGATAATATTTCATGGATAGAATGCCAGCTGAAATTATCGAGAGGCTAAACCTGATGCCTTGTGGACACCTGTAGTGTATACCAAGAATGCAGGATATACTTCACAACAGTTGTGTTTGTTGAAAACATGTAGGTGCACAAACAAAATATTTGACTGTAGTTAACTAAAAAAAAAAAAGCTTAAATGGCTTTTTCAGCAGTTGAAGTGACACCATCAGCGCACCCACTTTTCTGCTGCCAATCACAATTCTAAAGTGACACAAAATTGAACACTTCTGCTTTTAACAGCTTTTCTGGGAAGTAAATCAAAGGTGGATAATTGGGAGTGGGTGTGCACAGCCTGTTGGGTCCATAGAGCATGAAAGCAGGAAGGGGTCTTGCAGAATTAGGTTTTTACCAAGGCAGGCCCATACCCTGAGGCAGAAAAGGCGCATCATCCAACTTGTCCGTGAATGTTTATAGATGAAGGTTATGTGATATTTAGGGAGGAAATTATGCATCTACTAGCAACTGCCCATAATTCCCATTTTAAGAGCAGAAGTTGCAAATGTGGTATCAGTAAAGTGACAAATACTCTTAAAACATTTTCACAAAGATAAACTTAATTGGCAGGGTTTTTCTGGGCAGAGACTTCATCCATTGGCCAAAACCCAAAACAAAAAAACTCTGCCAACAAGCAACTTGGTAACCATTCTCAATGATAGTTTAATGCTCTCAGTTGCAGATGCAGCTTTTTTCAAGGTAGTAATGGATATATTTTGGGAGCACTGAATGCTACTCTGAACCTCCAGCAGAAATAGTGGGGGCATGAGTATAAAGTACATCATTTGCAAATGAAGGCAGCTTTCAAACTTTTAAAAAGATGGGTTAATAGCAAGTGGTTCTCATAGCCAGATCTTGCTGTGTTCTCTATTAGCAGCCAAGTAGTAGCACAGAACTGGTGTGTTAACAAGCAAAAGAAAATAAAACTAATACCTGCCTGTGGGAGCTGAAATCTAACTTTCTAACAATTGTTGCCCTGTTTGGAAGTCTGTCTGAGTTTTAACTGGGGAAGTAACTTCGGTTCTCTCTGCAGTGGTGTCTCTGGAGTATAGAACTATGTTATGAGCAAAACGTGACCTTGAGTTAGAGACCTGAAACAGAACTTCAGAGACGTCCTGTCTGTGTAAATAGAGTTGAGGCTTCAAGGAAAAGTATAGGAGAAAAGAATGTTGGTTCTCTGTATGTAACCCATATGTTTTGAAGCACGGAAACCTTGCTGAGCTCTGAATCAGACTCCTTGTGGGAAAATACCTTTGACAGCTGTTGCAAACTTGCTTTTCCAGGGATTACTTCACTCTGATTTCTTTTCAGTTTAAATATTAACAGCAGAATATTGTTGGTGCAAAGCGCCAACAGAAGTAACAAGCAGAATAATGTGTACTCCTGCAACTAGTGCTGCTAGTTTCAGAAACCCCATTAAAAACTGTTGTGGTGGGTGGGGAAAATTTTGCCTTTCACTAGACAAGGCCCCGCCCGTCCTGTACTGCCCCTGGGAGATGGCAAGCTGCCTCTTACAAGTTGGTACTCCAATGTCTGGGCAAAGCAGGAAGTGTTAGGCTCCTGCATGTGTGGATTACAGTACATTCTATGTAGCAGCAATATATTTGATTCTATCAGATTTATTGCAACATGTTTAAGGAAAGTTTCTGAAATGTGTGTCCTGAGTAAGCTTAATGATAGCTGTGTTCTTCCTCCATTGTTGAAGGAAGTAAGCCTTTGAATATCAGTTGGTGGGAGTCATAGGTGGGGGAGAGGACCTGCTTTCAGATTTTCCATAAGCATCTGACTGGCCATTGTGAAAATAGGATGCTGGAGCAAGTGCTCTTCCCATATATCCTGAATTCTCCAAGCTGCTTTAAATGCTAACATGTCATGTCACTTAAAGAGAGGCATAAACTTATCTTCGGGCCAGGGAATAGCAGAGGTATAATTTGGTGGCGGCATCATTTTGATACATTCCAAAGGATTAGAGATCAAAGGATCAAGCTTTACTTTACAGCTGTTTTAGCTTCACCTCCTGTGAGGCACAAGCAGGCTTATGGACTATCCTCCTTCTTTTAGGTACTTTGTCACTCATCATGGGACAGGAAGGGTCAAATGTTCCTGTGTGGTCTTGGAAGGCATTCT